ATCCATTTTAAGATAGTTTATGTACTTTGCCTTGAATTTTATTGCTTAAAACCTAAAAGGTAACTTTCTTAACTTGAACATTCCTTCTGAAATTCAAGTAAAGGATAGTTTGGTATGTTAAAATCTCACAATATACTGCACTTTAAACTTTGGGAGGCCATAAATTGAAAGCACTGTTCTTGCACTAATAGAGCTGTTGGACCGGTGGTGACAACACTCAAATGGATTTTACTGTCTGGGGGGAGAATAGTGAACCAGCAGGATGGCAGTCCTTTGAAACTATACATAAGTCAAACGCTGTATGGTTTAGGCCACTGTTCTCTTCCTAAGAGTGTTTTAATATTAACTCATCTCAAAAGATGGAAGGTGTCTCAGTTAAGAACCAGTTTGTATGGAGTGTCATAGCTTCAATTAGTGAGATGTGGAGAGCTTTCTGAGGAAGTGTGCTGTTAGACTGTCTTGGATGATTGTTACAGTACAGAAGAATAACATCTTTAGGAGAGGTAAAGGACCTTTATACTGAACCGGGAGTTGCCTTCATATTTCCAGTTCCCCTCTTGTCTTGCTCTACTGTTGGTGTTGGAAAGAGGTATTTCTAAGCAAAATGTCAGGGTTCTACTAAACAACTCATGCTTTCTAAAATATGCATCAGTGTCCAGATTCTTCCTGCACTACATAGCAGAGTGTTCTGCCGTTAGAAAAAAAAAAAATTAAGTAAGAAAATATCCAGTATTTAGAGAATTGCCTAGTAGTTTCCCATAAATGTACACTTGTGTGACAGTTTACTATATGGTGTACTGCTTTGAAAAAGAAAATACACTTCTAAATGTGTGCACATAGAGCTCTGCATGTAGATAAAAAGTGTTTTATCAGAGTATGATGTTGGAATGCTTATGCAAATGCTTTTTTACTTTCTGACATTACAATGCAAAATGCAGTAGAGATGGTGGTGTACTTAGTGTGATATTAGCTAGTGCAATCTTAGAAATCATAGTGTGCATTGTCATGGAGTATGAGTTTTATTTGTAGACAGTTGTTAACCTTTTGCTTTTTCAGTGTTCGGTTTTTGTTGTTTGGATTTTTTTGGGGGGTATTGTTGTTTTGTTTTCAAGGACTGTAAAAACTGCACTTTCTTAAACTCGGCCAAAGTTTGCTTTCTTTCTCCTTTGCTCCTCCCTCGCCCCTCATTCTAGGCATGCACACTGAATTTTTGGAAGAAGCAAGAATGTATGTACTCTCCTAATATACCATGTTACTGTCAAGTTGTTCATTTTGTCTTTATGGTCTGTTCTTATGTGTATTTTCCTTCTCTTCCTCCCCCATAATTTCTCAGCATAAGCATATACTGATATGCTATTCCATTGCAGAAACACTTCCCTGTAATTAATTGTGTATAACAAATTGACAGAAATCACGTAGAGATGTAAGCACCCGTAGTCTGTCATTAGGGTGTATGAAAAGTGGTACATTGGGCAGAGCAACAGGTGGTCAGTGTGACATTTCTGCTTTTTCCCTTCCAAACAGCTTCTTTGATTGAAATCTAATATTTAATTTGAATTTGTAGTATCTCTGTCAGCTGAAAACTGCACCTAGAATTTGGGGCTTATCAAATACATTGAGGTCAAAGCTTAAACAAGTTACACTAGCTTCAGTACTCCTTGTTTTTTAATTATTGGTGTATCTTTCTAAAAAATTCACAGACATTCTTAGTATTTTGGAACTTTGTTTTTCTAAGAGTGCATAGAATAAAATGTGTTATGCCACTTGTTTCTGTGATGCACAGCCAATAACTGAGAAAAATAAACTGTTGGTTTTTTTTTAAATGTTTGTGAATAATCCACTTTTGATATCTCAAATTTCAAAGCCTCCAATCAAGGAAAAGCTGCATTCAATAGTATTCAATGTCAAATAAACAACTTGCTGCATCTGAAAATACTAATATTTATGAGCAGCTCAAATACACTAGGACATAGATATCAATCTGCTGATACTCTGAAAACAAGAGTAATACAGAAGTGCTAGAATAATGCTATCCTTTACCACCCTGCACTAAGTAAATCCTGCTGTTGTGTACTTTGAAATTAGTCCTGTATTGCATTCCGAAATCTCAATTATCTTAGTCTTTCTGGAACTCGTGATAAAAGATCCAGACCAAGCAGATGGTTATTGCATTGTTCAAAATGAATTAAATTTAAAAGCTAAAAGAATCAGAAAATGGCCAGAGGGACTTCCAGAAAGAATATCTGCCTTGAAAAGGTGAAGTTTATTCATGTGATCTCAATATTATAATGTTTCACAAATCTTTTTCCTTCTTTGTGGAAGATCTGTATAAACCAGATAGCAAAAATGGTTAAACCCCAAACTTGTGACAGTATTGGTGTTCTTTAAGTTTCTGTCTGTAGTCAATTCTGCGTATTATCCAATATAAAAATACCGAGATGTAATTTAAGCTTTTGTTCTTAAAAGTAGGTAAATCTAATGCTTAGTGCCTGATTCATCACGTTGAGTGTTCCATGAACTTCCTTGAAAATGGGTTTTGCTACCTGCTGGTGACTAACACCAATTTTAAATGCTGACCCTTAATTCTTCCTGTAAGCTGTGATGTTACCCATGCACAACAATTTTAGTCTATGGCCTTGGTCTTTGGCCCTGTTTTTTTTTTTTATTGCAGTGTGGGACATGGAGGAGGCTGGCACAAACCATTTTTTTTTGTTCCAGAGAAAGATGTTTACAAGTTTATATGTATTTTAGAAATTTACTGTAACACTTTTTAACTTGTGAGAGGAGTTTCCATAGTAAACTTGAAATCTGTTCTAATGAGGTGAATAGAGACTTTTGAATAATAGAGAGCTACCTAAGCTACCAGAAGCTGTTAATGGTGATGCTGCTCGCTTACACCACAGGAGGGAGTCAAACATCAGTCTTTTACATATTTTCAGTTAAAGGCATTGTTTTTTCTTAGCACAGTGCATTTCAGTTTATAAATATGCTGACTTTGACTTGTCTTATGGATTGTCACTGCAAATAGGTTAATGTACAAAATCTATACACAGTGGTAATGTATTGTAACTGTTTACAGTTGAACTCTTGAGTACCAATTGATGAGTTTTATCAAGCTATTTAAAAACAGAAATAAAAGTATTTTTAAAAATCTTTTGTCTGTGGTCAACAACAGAGCTAGTTTTGCTGCTTCTCATTCCATTTTTTCACTTTATAAATTCTAGATTCTACTTAAAGAGATCTTGTTTCTGACAATATGATGTCAGTGAGTGGCTTTTCCAGAGATACAATTTGGGAGATGTGTGTTTACTGAATACCAAACAAATTTAAAACCTGGGTGAGAATAAAAGGGCTAAATGCCTTTTGCTTGGCCTTGGAAATGCATCATCTGAGCTCTAGGCTAGCTTTATCATGTTAGCCACCTATGTTCATTCATAGGCATTCTTCTTGCGTGTTTTTTAGTTACACACCTTAACAATCCAGACACATTCAATATAATTCTAAGGTATTTCCTAACTAACTAGCTCTGATCTTGTAACCAAGTTTCATTTTAGAAGGGGAAAGCAAGCCATGCTAAATACATAGAACTGCAGCTCTCTTAGGTAAGTGAGGGTAACATCCTGGGTGTTTCTCTTCAGGGTTAAAACCACCTTAGTATTAACAGATAGGCCAGACCTTGGTTTTGCTGAATAAAATATTCAAATTAAAGAAGTGGAATATACATGTATCCTCTGCTTAATGATGAGCATTAAAAAAATATACTAAAAACTAAAACCCCTCACTTTTTAGATTTTTCTTCTGAAAATTGCTGTCAGATGACTTTTGGATTTTAGACTCAAAAGACATAATAAACTTACAGTTTGTGTTTGATCTCAGCATCCCTTGATGCTGTAAGTGTTATATTTTGAGGAAGTATATTATTGGTGTGTGCTGGATTTATTCTGAAAAGAAGTGGTATTGACAATCCTGAAGAGAAGGCTGATAGACCTTGAGTACAAAATGAGCGTCTACTTTTCCTAATGATGAATACTGAGAGCATCTTTCCCTCAAAACAAGCATTTGAAAAGAAAAAAAAAAGGAGAGGGGGGAGGGCAGGAGGAGAAAAGAATGTAACCCAGTAAGGTCTGTGAAGTTTCAGCATGTGGTTAGACATTCAGTTAAGAAAGTGCTATCAATGCTCTCTCTGCTGTAGATCCTGTAGATTCTCACTTCAGATTCCTCATTGCTTCTGGAATTTGTAGGGTACATACTGAAGTAATGGTATCTAATCTCTTTGGCTGCCCATGATGTTCCAGCCACCCTACTCTCACAGTGATGTGATCTAGTCTTAATCACTCACGTTGTCATCACTTTCAGATGGTTTATCAGTTGTTTTATGTGTATTTATATAAATTGACATGATGCCTGCAGTACATGGGGAGCTTCAAGGAACTCAGAATAATTCTGTAAAGTAAGTCAGGAATAGACAGCCTATGACTATCCAAATTTCTTCTGCTTAGGATTTGAAGCATTTTGAAGTCAGATTCAAGGTGGTGGCCTACGACTTTGTGGTAGTCTGTCTTTGTTTATCTCATACTACTGGATTCTATGACAGCAGCTCATCTGTACAGGAGCTCAAATTTCCTCTATGCAAGTCTGAGATTGACAGAGGAACCTTTTAGCATCACAAACATCACAACATTCTCCTCTTCAGTGTGTTTCTTAGCTCTTGCCTTTCCTGGCAGATAAAAGGGCAGCTTAAAAGTTAAAAAAAACAAACCAAAAAATCCTCTAGCTAAACACAAATATCAAAGATTCTGCTGAAGATAATCACATTTCACATTTTCTAAGAAGATGATTTTTTAAAAGTAGATACAGTGCTTCACCTTCAGTTAAAAAATAAAATATTAGGTGGGGTTCTTGTTATCAAGGACTGTGGCGTGCTTGTAAAAAGCACATTGTAAGTCTCTTGACCATTAGGGAGCACTACATCTATTTGTTATCACAAATATTTTCTAGACTTACCAAAATACTTCTTTATTTATCTTTAAGCACAAAGTTCAAAGGGAAAAAGAAAAAGCCCACACATTTTGGAATTCAAGTATTATTCATTGTTAGAAGTATTGCCAAGGGCAGAGGACCAACACCAACACAAGACAAATGCTCACCTCATTGAACAAAAAGCCAGCAGCAATGACAAGCAGGATGTTTTTGATGCTCTTTTTTTTTTTTTTTTGGCTAGTGGCTGAAGCCCTTAATCACTTTAGCTGGAAGTTATTCACAAATAACCCTTCTGAGCTCAGTAATCCTGTCTTGCTTTCCATAATAATAATAATAAAAAATGTTTTCTACAGGAGAGAGAACTGAATCGCCTTTCAGATCTTAGCCTTGCATTCCAAGTATTGCATGCTGCCTGCAAGCATGTATGACCTGCTCCAGAGTTAGAATACTAACAACGTTTCCAATTTCTGATCTTTGCTCCCCTCCTTTGACATAAAAGCATTTAAAACAAAAAATATTTTTAGGATATTGTATAGCACCTTTCTAAGGTCTTGCTTGTGCATTTTCAGGTATCTGTCATTTTAGGTCATGTCTATAGATGTTGAATTTTCTATCAGGCTGAAAAAAACAAAAACTGGATTTACTTATCAAGACAGAATGAAAATCCAAACCTTTTTCAAAGTTGGACAGCCTTCATTTATCTTCCGGTCCCTCTAGCTGCTTTCTGAGTGAGAACATCTGTACAGACTGGAGCATGTTTCAAGTCCTCCACTCTGATCTACAGTTTTTGTTCCCAACAATCTGTTGGTCAAAATAAAAGCTGTCTGGTCTGTGTTGTCACTGTCAAAACATTTTCAGAGATCTTCCTCACATTTTCTCACTGGTTCATAATCATTGGTTCACAGTTTGTAACTGTATCTTCTGATTTCCTTTTGTTTATCTGAACTACTTTCTTGTCAATGCCAGCAACCTAGAAGGCTGTCGAGATTTTCATCACTGTTTTGTTACAGACAGTTCATCAATCTTTGCTACTTTACAGTTAATTCTAGTATATTTTCATAAAGTATCCATTAGGCATTGTTGCTGTTCCTGAACAGATTATTTAGCAGTTTCTCTTTCCTAACATAGGAAGTGCTTTTTCTGAAGGCTCTTCTTGAAACAGCACTGTCCAAAGGTTTGATTCCATTTCGTATATTGCTATTTTTACTATAGTTACTATAAAAGAATGCTTTTATAATGAAAATACCTCTGGTAAATCTTTGTTACTCACATGTTAAATCCAGCAGTTGATCTGCCTCGGAACTGCACTTCCGCTTCCTAGCAGATATTCTAGCTGTGATAGACAGTGACATACCCAAGATGACTTTTCTCAACCCAACATAAAGAAGAGAGACCAACCAAGAAAAAAAGAAAAGTGCTTTGAACATATTCTGGTTTAATTTTGACAGATCATTTTGCCAGAAACATGAGAAGATGTGAATTACAGCTTGAGAGAAGAGGCAACATAAATGGGATCCGATTTTCCTTTATAAATAGGAACTCTGTCAAATATCTCTGATCCCACGAGGTGGTGGCATTAAATAAGGCCTGGAAATGGATTCACAGGAAATAAAAAATCACAGGTATTTTACATCTGTTTCATGGAAAAGGAAAATAACACTTTTACTATTTTTCGCCAGAGTTGTTGTCCTTCCAGTCCTATGTAAACTTGGTAATGCAGAACTAGACAGCGTACTAGTCCACTGAAAAGGTGGAGAAAGCAAGCGAGGTTTTTGTGGGGTTTTGGGGCTTCCTTTTTTTTTTATTTCAGAAAGTGTAATCAATAATAAAAAAAATCTGATAGTAGGATTTATCTGTGTAAGTAACTTGAAGTGGTTTCAGTAGGACAAATCGCAGCTTCAATCCAGTAATCCAATCACACAAGATCAGTGCTGATGTCTAGCCTTGCTGACATAATCAAAGCTCTGTAAGCACGAGGATATCCGCATATGAACCAAACTACAAGGTCTGGACTTCTGTGTTTATGGGAATATCCTTAAATTTAGGCCAAGTTAAAAGTCCAGGCCTACTGACAGAAGAGTCAATGTGAATCTTTGCAGCAATTCAGACAGAGACAATACCATGTTCCTGAAGTGCTTTGACATTCATTGCATAATTTCCAAATATTGTACTCATCAAAAAACAATTTTAAAATCTTAAGTGTATTATTTTGCAACAAAGAGTCAGCATTTACTAACTGAGAACTATAAAAATAAACCACACAATGTCCAAAGTTACAGCATACTGGATGGTCTTCTAAACCACAGAAAACTCCCAGGAATTCAACTTGTAAAAGGGTATAAATTTGTTACTTTATTTGAATGATAAGTTGGTAACAGCTTTTGCTGAGGATTTTTACATAGCTTTAGTCAGTATTGCTTTTTATTCTTAGATATTTCCAAATGAACTGCACAAAGTCATTGTTAACAAGGTGGTTATATCTTTTTCTGCAAAGTAAGTGTAACTCTTTTGTCCTGGAGATTTAAGTTTCTTTTTTTTTCTGTTTCTGGAGTACACACTGTTCACCTGCGGTATGCTGGCTTTTGTATTACTGTGTTTAAATTCGCATGCTTGACATTGGTGCTGCAGTTAAAGAAATAGAAGTTTAGTAACTTTATCTACTACTACTGATCAAGAAAAAAATATTGGACTATCTACTTGAAATGGTGGGTTAATGAAGTCACACCAGATTACACTAATTAGAAAGTCCTTCCAAGAAATTAGGCTCTTAGAAGAAAAGGGCATAAAGAAGTATTTTCAGAACTCATTTTCTTTTCACAGTTTAAATCACAACAAATTCTGCTTTCAAATTAATCTGACAAACATTGTTATGTTGTAATAATTTCTTGTTATTGTACAGAAGAATCCATAGTCAATTTCTCCCCGTTTTTCTAAAGGGTGTTGTGACCGACATACACATTGCCGGGGAACTAATAGGGTGTCTCCTTGCAATTTCCATTTATAACAGAAGACACCCCAAGTAGCAGTAAATTCAGTAATTCAGGGAAAATTTTACATTAATCTTTTGGTAAATTTGCTGTTATTACCAGTGGCTTTATTAAAGAAGTACTACAGGAGTGTTAAACAATTGCAGGTTGTTATCACAAAGGGAGGAGAAATTATTTTAATCAGGCAGACTCCAAACTCAGAGGTAGAGTCTGCATCTAAATTTTTTGCTAATGGGCTTTGTAAGGAAATAAAAGAAGATTTCTCATTCTTTAACCAGTTATTGAATGTGACAGGACAGTTTTGGCTCTGTGCAAAGCTGACTGAAACCAATGCAGTATATCCACACCAGCTTTGTAGCAGCCTTCATTCAGAGAGTCTTTAGCTAAGAATACTCCCTGCATACATCTAATCCTGTGATCTAGAGATAAAAGACCATTTCATTAACATAAAATATGAAATTGTAGTTTTGCCTGTATATAACGACATATAAATTTTTATATATATATATATATATATATATATATATATATACACATGCATGAATATCTTTGCTTGCTTAGAATAACTTTCTGCTTAAGTGCTTTCCATAGATGATAAAAAGTCTGGTAGCAAAGAATGGAAACACATCCCCAGGTGCTACATTAAGCATGGTAAAAGCATACCTTTCTTTTCTATTATTCTAGAATTAATAGAATCAATCAAAATCCCAGTGTGATAAATATACCGCTTTACTTGTTCCCGTTGCCTAAGATGAGCATTCTAGAATAACATCTTAATTGATTACCCGTTAGAATTTCTAAGATGACTGCTTTATCTGCATTTATGTGTCATTACTTGCAGTTTTATAATTTAATAAAGACAATATTCTCTCCTTTCTAGTAATTTCAAAACAGGCTCTCATTATTTTAGCTGAAGAACATGAAGAATTTCTCTCTTAACTCACACCTGTATATCTCAGCTTTACTAAAACAGAATTAAATACCACGTTTATAGAAAGGAGAGCTTTGTACAAATTATGCAGAAAGTCCAGACCATTTCAGGAAAAAGCAGCAGCTAAAAAAAAGAACTGTCAGGATCCTGCTCTTCATGAAGAGCAAATCTAGAAATTCTGTAGAAGCAGACAGGACACAAAAAAATTGAAATATAAGAAATGCCTAAAAATACTTCATGAAGGCGTTCCTGCCCATGGCAGGGGGGTTGGAACTAGATAACCTTAAGGTCTTTTCCAACCCTAACTGTTCTATGATTCTATAATGATTTCATCTGTGGAGGAGACAATCATTCTTGTCAACAAGTTGGAAAAGGTTTTCACTGTGAGAGGAGACATTATTTAAGAATATAGATAGTACTCAGATAACAGTCTACTTATCTTGCAAATGTGATGAGATATTGAAAAAATTATCTGGTTGTTTAATTGCAGTTATCAGCCATCTTGTTTTTCAGGTTTGGAGTTTTCCATACACACTGAGTTCTGGAAAAGTCTTACAGATGGGAATAAAGAGCAAGGGCATGGTTTTGTTAATCGTGAGAATTTGGCTGTGCTCATTATCCATCTTCTACTGAAATGGTTTTTCTTCTAGCAGGAATACCAGAATGCAGGTTTTACCAGGCCAGAGAGGAGGAATAATCCTTCCAGGTAAGAATTCATTCATTCTCAGCTGGTACAATAACTGAACTAAATATCCCACATTCTCATGCTTTTGCAATGTTCTCAGTCAACAGCAGGTTTCAAAAACTTTTACGTGAAAAGTCTTTCAGATGTAAATGTACTGTATTTCCTAAGGCCTTCAATTTTTCCCCACAAACAAAGGAAATGGATAATTCTATTTAAACACTGAGCAATCCACACTTACTTGAGTAGCTTTGTGGATTAAAATTGTGCAGTATGTGAATAATTTTTATATAAAACATGCTTTAATAGTTTTGATTTCAAAATTATCTCCACCATCTTTGCTTAATTATGGGTATTTGGAAATTTTCTACAGCCTGTTGAATGGCACAACTGATTCAGACATCCTTAGAGGACTGCATGCATCTGTACAACTGAGATTTCTGCTATTTGAAAATATAATGAAGCTTTTAAGGATACACATAAAAGAAAGGAAACAAAAAATGTTTAAGTAAATTACTTTCTAGGACATTAGTTTTTCAAATGCGTCCATTGTATTTTGTACACTAATTCTTTTTTTTTTTACATTACATTGCTTGCTTTATCCCAAGCATGGCAATTTGCCAACCTTAGCTTTCAGTGATAAATTCTGCTATACAAAGCAAAAGTTTTTATATCTGAGGCCACTTCCTTCTGCTATTCTATCATCTTCCTGGTTTTGTCTGTTTTAAATAAATACCTTTGTATTTTCACATCTTTTATATGCATGTATACACAGATCCTTTCCTCAGTATTAAAACTGATAGTTGCAAGTTGGCAAAGATAAAAAGTCACACTGCTTACTTCAATTTCATTGAAATAATATACTATATGGACACTTTTATATTACAGTATTAAAAGATCATAACATATTGATATAAAAGCATTTTGTGAATTTGGGAGTGGGGTGAGGAGGCAGGGGTTGATGTTTCATAAGAACAACAAAATGGAAATAATCTCTGTGTACAGCTATATTCGAGTACTAAAGATCGACACATGGAGGCTGGGTTGTCACAGTGAAAAAATGTTATTTTAAAGCATCTTAAATTTAAGTATACTGAAATTTAAAATCTAAAAAGAAATCATGGTGGAATCCAAACACCTCTATTTGTCTCAAGACGTTGAATATTTCTGCCCGAGAAGAAAAAACCTAGAAAACTCAGCAGGGAGAAGCTAGAGAGATCCCTGTATATGCAGCAGAACCCAAAGAAAATTAAGGAAAAGGAGCACTGAATTAGGAGTGGTCAGGGAGGAGAATGAGATCAGAGGAAAAAACTTTAAGTTGATTCAGCAAACTGGAGAAAAGCTTTTGGAACTTACAAGAAAAAGAAGCTGTCCCTGATGTCAGTGCCCATTTTAGCAGTCTCTCATGAATTCCTCTTTCCCACAAAAAACTGTTACTAAGGATGTAAGCTGCAAATCATCATGTAATAATCTTTTTATGAAGACATTTTTGTCATTGTTCTGTAGACCTATTGTTCTTTTACAACTATATTAATGGTCTAAAAATAGCAAGGGCAGTTCTATCATACTTAAATTACAATTTTGTTTCTTAAGAATGATTATTTTATACTTGCTGATTAAGATCACAGAAATCCTTTTCTGACCACAGAGGCATAAGGTACCAAGTTCATCATTCATGTAACTGCACTGAGGTAAATGGAGTTACATAAGGAATTAATTTACTGGTCTCCTCCATTTCCTTGGAAAATTTGTTTTAGTGTTTGCCAAGTTTTAACTTTGCCTCTCTTGCTTAACATATTCTCGTGCTTAGAGACAGTTTTTCCTTCTTTAAGACTATAAGGGGAAACACAGCAGGAGAAAGACAATTAAGGTGAAGATCTGCTTTTTAAATTGAAAGTACATTTCAAGTATCTCAAGAAAATACCAAGAGCTTTTTGTTTTGGTAGAGAAATGTAGGGGATTATACTTACATCCATGAGGATATGAAAGGAGTAAAATAGTATGCGTAGCCATAAAAGGGGAAGGATTTAAGTGATGGTTTTCTGCCTCATGTTTCTTTCTAACTGCAGCAGTTGAAATAAATAGGATCCTTTCTTGGTTAGAGACAATGAGAATTTAAAATGTGACACATCGTCTTTTAACAAAGAATCGCCTCCCCTTTCCACCTGAACTCAACAGGAGCTATGTATTCAAAAGTAACCTACAAGAGAAGCTGAAGGCATACTCTCACCAGTATACAACTGCTATATTTCATGGTAGAATAAATTTAGGTCTTGGATGGTAACATGGCACAAAATTCTTTGTACAAACTCAACCCACCATTATAGAGTTATTTAAAACCCAAAACCCTCACAAAACAAGGAGTGGATATAGGTTTACTCCTGATGATTTCACATTAGAGTTGGTAAGATTTGTCTTCATGTTGCAGGTATAAAGCTAGGATAAAGCTTTGTCTAAACACTGTAACTCACAGCTGGCTAATCTTGACAGGAATTTGATCTTGATCAATTTATTACCATTAGGTGTTCTAGCATTGCAAATGAGACATTAACAAGCGTGTAAGTTTGACTATAGGCATAGTTTGAGAAGGGCTGAGCATCACGGGTCAAAAATTAAAATTGATGGTGTCAGTGGTTTAGAATAAGGTTAGAATTATGCAGGGATATTGTCCCCACTGGCAAGATAACTATCCAGCAGCCTGCCCTCCTTCTTTCCACACCATCTGTGTGTCCCAGTCTACCAATGCTGTAACCATGCCAATGCAACTGTTTGTGGTATCAGAGCTTGAACTTAATCAGTGGAATAATTCTGGTTAAAAATCACTGGTTTAGGCAGAACTTTTAAAATCTGGACTGAGCAATCTGATTTACAGCATGGCTTCACAAATGGTTGCATGAACAGATGAGAGGGCATTGACAGTCACAATCGTTAGTCGCCTGTTCCTGCTCCTGTCTAAATTTATGGTTCCATATTTATTAAACCCAGATTTGTGCACTGCTGAGTAGCCAGCAGCAAGATCTGAGCCAGCTCATGTGGAGATATGCAATTGCATTTCAGATGCTCACTGGTGAACCAACAAGAGCACCTGGTCTAACCCTTCTAATACTGTATGTCACAAGCAAGTCCACCTTGTCACTTGGCTGCCACATGTACCATGGGATGCCAGCCCTCTTACACTGTGGAATTGTTTAAGAGTTCTTCTCTGGGCAGGGAGGAGGAGGGAACTGTAGAGGCCTCTCCTGTTATTAGCACTACTACAATAAATCCTTCAACTGCTGCTATATGCATGCAGCTAGAGCAGGACTTGTGTATGGTTTGCAGCCCTGCTACAGTTCTCAGTATAGGATGAATGAGGAATTTCAAATACTTGGGTCTTGGTGAGCCTGGGAAGTGGTAAGTGGTAATACATTTAACCATGCCAAGCTGGAGTTAGCCAACAGAGGTGAATTCACAGACACTGGCTACTTCACAGGGTGGGAACAGAATCTGGCCTTAATCAGTGCACCCTCCGTTGAGAATTACTTTGTATCAAGTTCTATCATTTTCCTGAGATAGAAAAACTCTCTCAAGCTTCATGCAAAATTCCACTCATGATCTTTTTCAGCTTATGTCCTTTGAATCAAAGTCCTCCTTTTCTGTTATTTTAGGCACAGCTTCCACACTAGAAAGCATCCTGTTTGTGTCTAGTACTATGTATGCATAATTAATACAGGTAAAACAAGTTCTAATGCAAAGTATGTTTCAGATCATAAGCATTACAGAGTTGGTGAACCTCCACAATATTTAATGCATTTGTTTTTTCTCAGTGGGGCATTCTGCTGTTCATTACTCAATTACTCATCAGTGGCCCTATCAGTGTTACACAATGCAAACAAGAACTGACTTCCAAAACCAGTAATATTTGATGTTAGGAATAGATAAAGCTCATTTAGAAGTCTTAAAAAACCCAACAAGAAGTCAGGAATTAGGATTTGAAATAAGCTGCAAATAAAATTCAGGATATGATTTAGAAGTTCATCTGGAGAAAAACTCATGCAAAATTCTTAAAAGAGGGGCATCTTTAACTTTGGGGGGTTGACTATTTTAAGGGAATGAGCTTCCTATGCATACAAAAAAGCACCATTCATAAAAGGTGTTTGACTTGCTAAGCTTCAGCTTTGATGTCTCTGACAACAATATAAAATACCTGCATGTAATTTTTTCTTGGATTAAATGGAAAATGCAAATACTTTTGAAACCGTTAAGACAACCAGCAAACAGGATTTTTCCAGCTGAGACAAACAGAGTATGTGTGACAGCATAAACATTTTAATAAACAATACATGGCTAAAACCCGTCTGCCAGACAGAGGAAGTCAAAGAGTTTGCCTTAGGGGCTTAAGAATACCAGGCTTTCAAGTACTGATAAATTAAAAATTAAAAAAGAGAGATGAAAAAAAGATATAATGATGGACTAACACCTTCCTGCCTGGAAACTATAAGGCACTGCTTCTTAAAAAATAAACAGAAGTATTCTTTAATACAATGGCCTAGTATCGATGACAGTGATTCTGACTATCAAGAAGATACTGTCTTAGGAAATGTAATGCTTGCACCATTTTTCTACAAACGTGAGCATCTAAGTGAGCAAGTAGTAAAATCGTAATAATAAAACCACAAAATTCTAGCTTACAAAACATTGCACTGCATCTGTATTAAGATGTATATATATTCCTTGAGATATACATCTATTCTTTAAGATAGATCTATATTCTTTAAGAATGTATTCTTAAGACTGTAGAGACGTTCATGTCTTTGAGATTAACTGTTCTCCTTAAGCATAACTTCTTGCCAAATCTAACAGAAGTGACGATAAGCCAGACTTCCAAATTAGTGATGTTTTGACTGAATGCATGAAATAGGAATACGTGCATGCAGGATGACTACCTCCTCAAATAAGATTTCAAAGATTCTTTCTTCCTTCTGACAGTAAAGTGCATTATTCCACCTCCCTGCATCGGATACTGACATCTGGTCTGATGGCACAATGGCAGTTAGTTTACTTCCTTCTGGATTAATAAAAAATTCAGAATTGTATTTCTGGTCTTTGAATACAATGTTAGTATCTACTTTCCAATCGCTAGTCATGTAATGAACATCATCACAGCTCATCCTTTTGATTTATGAAATCTATCATCATACAATGGAATTTTACATCACTGAAACATTTACATTTCTGTAAGAGGAAACTTAACAAAGTAAGACTAGGCTTTTTTATTTCTACACGTAAACTAAAGATGAACAATGAAGATGATCCCCCCCCCCCCGAATTTCCATTAAGAAATAAAAAGCAATCCAGAAAAAAGGGAGTCCACTCTTGCTGAGGAAAGGATGTGGTAACCTTTCCTACTCTTGAATTCTTTGATTATTAAAATAAAAGAAGAAAAAGGAAGGGTAAAGGGTAATTTTCATTTTCAGCCAGTATTATTTGGAATCTGGTTCAAAAAATCCATAGAAATAGCTTAATACTCAATGAGCCTTTCAGACCACACAAATGTGATAATGTGATGTAAGGGATTCAGTTGTCCTCACTGACTCTCTGTGTAAGGACAAATGTAACAGATACGCTCCTGACCCCTGAAAATGAAAAATGACATGATAAATTACTGCTTAGTGGAAGCTGAACCAAAACAGATACTAAACTATACAAAGAGAGGGAAAGGGAAAATAAAAATAAAATAAAAATAAAATAAAATACAAAGTGTATTACCTGAAAATTCACCAAATAACCACATTTAGCATTAAAGGATCAACCTTGCCAACAGCAGGTTTTGGAGAAAGCCCAATTTTCTCCTAGAAATAATTTAAACAGACCAGCTATTAGACTATTATTTGCAGAAATGACAGACTATGAAGTTCTTCCAACACAGAAGGTTAGATTTGTGGATACAAAACTGGCAAAGCATACTTGTGGTAAATATAGATCTATGACTACAGAATGGACTGCAAGAAAGAAAAATAAAACAAAACAAGATCAAGCAATCTTTAGGAAACTGCTGATTGAAACCCTTATTCATATATAGAGAAAAATAAAATTCATATGTATTTCAAAACAGAAGAATGATCAAAGTTTCAGAAAACAGAGTAGATGTAAGAGAATTATTCACATGAGTAGGAAACAGTTTATTGGAGGGTATCCTACAGTTTGCTGAGATTGTAAGCTGTCTTGCTGCCTGTCATCTTTGTTGGTAAGGCACTACCCAGTATTTAATGATAATGCCATTGTTACTTGTGAATTATCAAAAACTATAGAGTAGTTCTGCTATGGTAGAACTACTATAGCTATGATGTAGAAATATGACTGTAATTCTTTAGTTGATGTTGTGCATTTTCAAAAAATCTATTCCTGACCTGGTTAGGTCTATTCCTGACCTAGCCAGACATGAGACCTATTTTACACACAGGAAAAAGAGACAACAAGGTAAAAGGTTTGATCTTCAAAGTTTCTATTGCACACCTCACTTGAAGATTAAACAGCTCTGAGCAGTAGGCACCTTGTACTCAGAACTAATAGTTTTAATTAGAACACTTGCAGATCAGGCCCATGCAAAAGTAAGTCTCTTCATAATATACACAATATGTATGAAAATTTCAAGCTTTAAGGAACATCTGCCATCATTTCAGAGACATACAGCCTTGAGAAGACACTGTAATGTCAATACTCTTTTGTACTATGTATCATTAATAAATCCTCCTACTAAAATGGGACTGTAAAGCATAGACTTTCCTTGAGAGGGTATTTAATGACATATATTTCAAAGTTACAGAGTCAGCTACATTTTCAATAATGCAAAATACTGATAATCTAACTGTTTGGTCAAGTTAGTATTGCAGTTATAATAAAGAACATTTTGCTTATCTCACAAGTTTAGAATTGTCTGATTTTACCATGAAGTTCATATAAAATCTTTGCTATTAATTTGGGGAATTTTATAACCACTTATTGCTTCCATGAAGTCAACAGGAATTTTCAACTGAATTAGTGGGAGGTGGACTGTTACCAGCAGCTCACCCTTCTCTTTTACTAAACTTAGTGATCGGGCTACCTTTCATTTTGCACTAGAATTTTCTGTCCAACAAAAGTATATTAAGTTATACTGAAATACAGGAAGGAAGGAAAAAAAAAGATATTGACAAACAAAAATAACAGAAGAAAGGAATATATTTTATATAAAAGTGGAAAACAACAGATGAAATGAAAGCAAACAATCTGTGATCAATTATGAAATCAGAATTTTTCTCATGAAGCAGACTCCCCTTTAATGTAAAGTTTTCTCAGTGTGCAAAAATATTCAGAATCCACTGTCAGTTCATCTGCATTCAGACTTGTTTTAAAAACAACCCATAATTGCACTTTATAGACACACATTTCAAAATAAATCCCTTACCTAGGTAATGCTTCTGTTTTATGTAATCACATTTTTTTATACCCTTACTAAACTTATAACAATATTTAATTTAACAAAGGAAATACAGAGGAGTATTTTAAAAGTTTGTGGTATTTATGGTTTCTAGATGAGGTAAAATGCTTTATCACCAGAGCAGCAGCCAGAGCCCAACCTCAGCTCTCAGCAAAATGGGCTGTAATAACCACCTATTAGCAGCAGTGTCAAGAGGTGAGCGCTTCCGACACAGCTTCCTAGATTGTGCTCTGTCCCATGCCAGCCTACAAAAGGAAAATGAAACACCCGATATTTTCCTGTTGGCTGACCCTTTCCCCTCACAGCTTCCTTTCCCAGTAAGATTTTGACACCAAAGGTTTAAAAAAAATAAAGACGGGTGCTACCTAGGAAGGAAGGAAGGAAGGAAGGAAGGGAGGAAGGAAGGAAGGGAGGGAGGAAGACTGGCCTGTGCGAGCACACTTCTGCTTACCTTTACAGAGACTTTGAAGACGGCTGATATCCGGACTCCCATGATATGTCACTGACGATCTTTACTGAGAACTTAAGAAATCTCACAGATCCTTTGACTCCTAGGCAGTAAGCAGACAAATCCTTTCTGTTACCAACACAGATAACACAAACCAATGCAAACCCCTGTGCTACACATGGGGAAAGAGTCTCTACACAAGGCTCTTCATGACCCCTGTTGCAGTGGATGCATCCAGCACCCCTCCAGCACCAGACCGGACCCAAGAACAAGGAGAAAGCAATAATTGGAAGAAAACATGCAAAAAATCATACGCCTCAGGTCAGAGACTCGATCCACCTTGTCCGAATTCACGACGCGGCTTCAAGCCAGCTCGACCCTCGCCTTCCTGTCACCCTCTGCGCTTTGCCCCCTTTAGACCCCTCTAAAAGAGCCAGAAGCTCTGCAGACATTTTCTGGCCACCGCAGACCCCCAAGAAACAACCCCAACCGACACGAAATCCAACTGACTCGACGACTCCCCTCAGCCCCTCCCGCTATCGCTCTCAGGCTGCTAGCCAGCCGCTGCCCCGCAGGCCAGGCTCCTCCCGCTGCCCTCGCCCCCTGCCCGCCCTGACAGTCCAGAGGGGAGTCGGCTCAGGTGCCAGAGCGCTGCCAGGCCGCACCATGCGAAACCTGCCGGGTGGGAACAACGAAAACGAGAAGCAGGAAGGCGAAAGGGAGGCAACCCCCGTCCCCAGGTCCCGCTCCGCCGACAGGGCACGGCCAGGGAGCTGCCGCCCCCTGAGGGGAGGAGGCAGCGCGGCGATGGCCAGCGACCCTGTAGCGGCGGGGCGGCTGTGCAGGCCGGCCGGGCCTGCCTTTCCCCCCCTCGCTCCTCCGCGGGTCACATGAGAGGGGCGGGCGGCTGGGCCGAGGCGGCGGGTGCCGCTGGGGCTGAGGCAGGACTGGGCGGAGAGGGAAGGGGCAGAGCCGCGCGGCGGAGAAGGAGAAGCGTCTGCGAGGCGCCGAGTGCTGAGGCGCGGGCCTCTCTCAGCTGCGGCCGTTGCGGAGCGCGCTGCTTGCGGCCTCAACATGGACGAAGAGGGCGGCGGAGGTGGCTGCGGTGAGTGGAAGGGTTGTGCCGGGAGACGCTGCCTCTCACCTGGCCAGTGCGGGCGCGGGGAAGGCGACCGAGGCGCTCCGCTCCTGGGAAGAGGGGTCGCTGCTCGCCTGCCCGAGGCCGTGACACTCGTGGCGATTCCTCCGTGACACTCGCCGCGCCCTTCCCTCTGTGCGGAGCTGCCCGCCGTTGTTGTGTCCCCGTCCTGCCCGGCGCTGAGGGACTGTAACAGCGAGCACCGAGCAGCACCCAAGAGCGGGGGAGCGTCGTGGTGGGGCTGGCCCTGTCGCCGGCGGGCACAATGGGGGCTCTGTGCCCCGCGGCGGGCGCCCCCGCGGCCGGAAAGGGTCAGGCGGAGGTGGGGAGGGGGGAGGCGGGTTTGCTCTGGCTCGGCGGGGTTCGGACACAAAGGGGGTGACCGGGCCGGGCAGGGGTTCCCGGTGGCCCCGCCGTGGTGACAGCCCCGGGGCATCGCCGTGCTCGTGCGGGCAGTTGCTCGTCTGCTGGGAGAGGGGAAAGGGGGGAAAAGAAGAGAAAGAAAGTGTGTGTCTTGTAGTGTGCGAGCAGCGAACAGAGTAATTGAGCTCTGCTAGGGCTCTGTTTGTGTGTGTCATCTTAATGGAGGCTCGGTGATAATCACGGGGTGGTTCATCCAGTTTAAACAAGGTGAACTGTTTGCAGAGGCGTTCATGTTGCCAGATACTACTTTTAGAAAATCCGACTCGCGTCTTGGGGGAGTTTCTATCCTTCATTTTTATCTCGGAGACCGGCTTGAGCACCGTCCCAGTTAAGGCGCTGCAGACGTGCAACACCCTTCCCTCCTTTAATTTATAATGTATTTTGTGAGTACGTGTGTAAAGCTGCTGCCCGAAATAACCAGTTCTTGTGTATCATCAGCGATAATGGTGGCTGTGGTGACTGAGGGGTGGCTGATCCTGCCTTGGGGCGGAGGGATTGACTTGAGTGGACTGTCCTATATTCTCTGTGACTGTGGCGGTGGTACAGAGTGAAGTGATGAGACCGTATCTTAAATGCTAAACAGACTGCGTTTGAATGCACTGGCTGATGTCTAAATAGGTAAAGTAAGGGCTAAACCTTGTATGATTAATAGTTGCACGGTGCTTGCTAATTCTAAATATAATTACCCAGAACTCGGAAATCAAGTGGGTGTGGTGTTTGTTTTGACAACTTGAAAAAAAAAATTCTGTGATGAATCAGAAAAATTATTCTTCAAGCAGTTGTCTGGAAAAGTGGCCGTTTCTCAGTAGCATTTCTGCTCATTTTGTCAGTGATAGACTGAACTCTTAAAACAAATCTGAAAAGACAAAACAAGACAGTCCTGAAAAGTTATTATTCAAAACAGTTAAATGCTGTAATTGTAAAGAGCAGAAAGCTCATTCAACTCAAAATATGTTATTTTCATAGTATTATGGACTTGCATCTGTAGTTAAGGGAGATGAACACACTTGTTGGCACTAACTCTGTGTAATATAGAACTTAATCACATGCAAGATGTAAACTAGAAGGTGGACTTATTGCTGAATCAATCTTTGATAAGGTGTTAAGCATTTCAAAGTTGGATTTTCATGGGAGGGAGAACACTCAGGACCTCGGGAAGAGACAGTTTATATTTAGCTGAAGGCTGGTTCTATAGGTGAAGCTGGATTTTTACCTAGCATGAGAGTGAAAGTATTACTTATAACCTCATATATCTCATTAATACACATGTTGCTTCTGTGGGGTCAAATTACAGTACAGTTCATGTTTCTCCCTACGTGACTTCATTGTAAGACAACTATGGACTAGTAAGACTGGAAATTTTTTTGCAGTCAGTGTATTTGGTGTTTTACGTTGTAGTGTTGTTGAGTATTCATTTTTTTTCTTGAGTAGGGATCCAGTCTGACATTTTCTTATGGACCACTGTCAATTTGGAACATCAGCATTAGTTAGGTCATTTCCAGCTAATTACTTGGTATTTTGAATTGAGAGTTTGCTGTTTTGTTTTTTATTGATTTATTTTCTAACAATAGAGAGCACGTGGAAAGCATGGATTTGACAGTCAATTTTAAAATCCTTCATTGCTGCTGAGTAGTGAGGCTCATGGCCTAGGAGTTTGACTAGGGCAGTACAGTGTTTTGAACCTCTGCAGGACATTTGCAATCCTCAAATCAGATGTTACTGAGTGGGAAACTTGGAGATAAGCATATCTCTGTTCACAAGTACTTTAGGAAGTATGCAAAATTATTTGAGGACTGCACAGAAAATCACCCTAATTAGAGACTTGAACTAGACAAACATCTAAATATCTAGGACATTAAACTGTGATTCAGAAGGTAAACTGCTATTCCCAGCTCAGTTTTGTGTGCTGCGCCTGCTCTTCAGTTTAATTTGTGTCCTATGCTTCAGTTCCTGTATTTGTCAAATGGGGTCAGTTGTTCTACCACAGTGATAAAAACTGTGAATGAAAACAGAGCTGTGTAAAGGATTTATTATTTTAGAAGCACTTGATGGAAAAGAAATGTTAATTAAGAGAATTGTTCTTAGTAGCTCTTTCTGTTTTGTATGTAGAGCCCTAAATAGGGGCATGCGTTTATATTATACAATCCACTTATGTACAAGCCTCCCATTGATTTCAGCAGAGGCTCTATGCATGGATTATTGATGTGATATGATCCGAGTCAGTTGGTGTCTGTCTCAACCTTCTTTTGTGTTCTGATTAAAATATCTCTGTGGTTTACTTAAGCCAGGAAATTTTTCTTCCCTCTCCTCACTTGGTTTAAACCCACATCTTTTGTGATTTGACTGGGGCTTTTCTTACATGCTTGCTGTTATGTGGTGGGGGTACCACTGCACTATGATCCTCATATTGAATAGCGCTGTTGGCAGCAAGTGCTTTGGCTATGTACTGCTAAACAGTAAGTGATCTTCTGTATAGCATCAAAAAACAGTGCTGGAAGCGCAGAATAGTACTTCTCTTTGTTTTTCTGCATTTGAGTCTAGTTATGCGGTAGCTTTGTAGCCTCCCAAATTCAACTCTGTGCCATTCCTCTTGGAAAAGACTGTAAGATTGAGTGCTTACCAGCTTTGTATATATGTTTGTTTTAAGCTGTCTCTATGAAGGGTTCTAAACAGACATGCCAAAAAGTTAAAATCCTGCTTCTACTTGACAAATAGGCCAGATTACAGCACTAATTGTGGTATTGAGGTTTCTCTGCTGTGCCCCAAACTCTGCTTTATTTCTGAATTTTGAAGCTTTTTTTCTGGGAAGAGAGCAGTTCAGTTGCCAAGCTCTGTTAGTAGTTGGCTGTACTTGCCAGGGATGATGCCAGGTAGAGCACTGATTCTGTTATGTAGACAGACGTTCATGAGGAACTAGGCCGAGAGACCAGATCGTCTTGCAGAGTACTCAGAAGAATAGATTTGCTGCCAAACCAAATTTAGCAAGATGACTTTTGTTCCTTTGCAGGACAAAGCATTTATCCATTTATAGGTAAAGCTGTTAAATGTAACACACACCCCCAGATTTTTCCTAGGAAAGAAAGTTTTAAAATCGATTTAAAATAAACTATCTCACTTTTAGATATGAGCAGCCTGATCGTTTCTGTTCTTTTTACATTGCAGTTATCTTTCAAAAGTAGATGTTAAAGATAGAAGAGTGTATGTGGCTTCCTCATGGTTACAGACATTTGCTCTGCATTTAAGACTAAATCTGCATAGTTTGTTTATAATAAAAGAAACTAATAAGAAATGTATTTTAACACAGAAGAATGTTAAATATGTTTCACTCCCTACTCATCAAAGTGGATGACTTGTACTGGTAGTTTTAAAAAGTTGTGCCAAGAAGTATTCAGTGGAGGGCTTGCAGTTCTAAATAGCATTCTAGGGAGATGCCAAGAATATAAAAATCCACCTGAGTGTTAGACTAGCCACATAGATTGATTCTAAGGAAGGAAAAAGAGCAGATACAGAATAGGAACACAAAAAACTAAATGACAGAAATATAACTTTTATCAGACAGTAGAGCTTCATGCTGCCTCTTATTGCTAAATAAAATGCTTCTTCATGCTAAACTAATCTCGTATTTGTATAGATTACCTGTCAGCTCACTAGTATCTCAACCTTTAGTTCCCAAGCAGTTTAATCTGTTATCATGTTAATAAAAAAATGCCATAATAAAATATTAATAATTGTGAATATTATTTGTTCTGATGAAATCAGAAAATGGGCTTGTTAATGGCAGTAACACATTAAGGGTTTTTTTGCCTAATGTTCAATATTTTTAGCTTGATGTGGAAGAAAACATGAAATTTTTGCTGATACAATTTCCAGAGGTTGTCAGTCGCCAAACTTGATGTTTTCTTATATAATGGTATTTGGTGACTTGGGCTCAGCAACTAAGTATGCCATGGGTTTAGGGGAGCATTGCTGCTATAACATAACATCTGTGTTATAGAATGAAAGCTGTAGGATTTACTCACAGGAAGAGAGTGCACTTTGCAGAATAATGTCTAGGAATAACAGTAATAGCCATGTGAAAGTAGACTGCCCATGTGCTCCTGTTATCAAGTGGATATTGCAATCTTTTAATATCACTGAGGTTATAAGAGCTTTTACTAGTTGAGCAGCTGCAGATAATGAAGCAACACGCTGTTTTCAGGGTAGTCTGCAGTTCACATCAAATTTATCAGTCTCATCATATTTTTTGCCTCCCCTCCTTTCTTTATAGGATTTTGAACACTTTTTGAAGGCAAGACAAATGAAACACGTTGTGGCTTTCCTCTGGTTTCTTCTGCTTGCCATTTTTTTTTGTCCTTTAAGTCTCTCTTCCTAGTACAACAGAAACTTTTTAAAAGCTTTAAACTGTTTTGCTTATACTGTAGCTGCATCTTACCTGCTTCTATCTTTTATCCCTTCTTTTCCCTCCCAGTGCAAACACGCTTTAGGCTTTTCTTTTCTTTTCTTTTCACACCCTGTCTTTGACCCCATTTACTTTTTGAACTACC